GTTAAGGGAACTTCATAGAAGTTCAGGGAACTTCATTTAAGCTTAGGAAACTTCATAGAAGTTTTGGGAACTTGATAGAAGTTTAGGGAACTTCATAAGCTGTTAAGGGATCATCATAGAAGTTAATGGATCTTCATAGAAATTCAGGGAAGTACTGCAAATTTTGAAGAATTTCAGCTAACTTTACAGAAAGTTTATGAACTTCGTAAAATTTCTACGAATTTTATAGAACTTCATTGAACTTTGTAGCACTTCATCGAACTTTATAGAAATTCAGAGAACTTTAGAGAAAATGATTGAATGTTGTAGACATTTAGGAAGCTTCATTGAAGCACGAAGTTCAGGGACTTTTCTTTAACTACAGGAAACTTCAAGATTTTCGGAAGTTCTCTGATCCTCTCCTGGGAAGTTCTCTGAGTTTCTCCTCGGAAGTTCTCTGAAATTCTCCTCGGAAATTCTTTGAACTCCTCTTCGGAATTTGTTGTCAAAAGACTCTGAACTTCTCCTCGGAAGTTCTCTGAACGTCTCGTCGGAAGTTCTCTGAACCTATCCCCACAAGTGCTCTGAACGTCTCGTCGGAAATTCTCCAAACTTTTAGTCGGAAGTTCTCTGAATTTCTCGCCTTAAAATCTCTTCTGAAGTTTTCTGAACATCTCATCAGTCTTCTGAAGTTTTTGTCGGATGTTCGCTGAACTTCTCCTCGAACACGAAATTCAGGAAACTGCCGAGAAGTTCACACAACTTCCGACATCTTATGATAAGTTCACGGAACTTTCGACAAGTTCCGACGAGAAGTTCCAATGAGAGGTTCAGAGAACTTCCGACTAAATGTTCAGAGACCATCTCTGAATTTCCTCTCGGAAGTTCTCTGAACTTCTTCTCGGAAGATCTCTGAACTTCTCGTCAGCAGATATCTGAACCGTTGCTTGGAAATTCTTTGCACTTTTTGTCGGAAGTTCTCCGAAGTTCACGGAACGTTCGACAAGTTCCGGCGAGAAGTTCACAGTACTTGCGATGAACAGTTCAACGAATTTCCAAGGAGATGTTCAGAGAACTTCCGACTAGATGTTCATAGACCATCTCTGAGATTCTTTTCGCAAGTTCTCTGAATTTCCTCTCGGAACTTCTCTGAACTTCTCTTCGGAATATCTGTGAACTTCTAGTCAGAAGATGTCTGAACCGCTCCTTGGAAATTCATTGCACTTTTTGTCGGAAGTTTTCTGAAGTTCTTCCGGAAGTTCTTAGAATGTCTAGCCAGAAGCTCTCTGAACTTCTCCTCGGAAGGTCTCTGAACTTTTCCTCGGAATTTGTCTGAACTTCTCTTCAGAAGTTCTCTGAACATCTGCTCGCAAGTTCGCTGAACTTGTGCTCGCAAGTTCGGTGAACATCTCTTCAGAAGTTCTTTGAATGACAACGTTGGAAATTCTCAAAACTTCTCTGAATTCCTATTGGATATTTTCTAAACTTCTCCTCGGAAGTTCCCTGAATTTCTCTTTGAGCTTCTCGTCATATATTTTCTGAAATTCTCTGAATTTCTCAACGGAAGTTCTTTAAACTTCTCCGTTTCCGAGAATTTCCCGGTACTTCCAACCAGTTCACTGATTTTCCGACTAGTTAACGGAACTTTCGACAAGCACACGAAACTGCCGATGAGTTTACAAACATTCAGAGCAGTTTATGTCATTGCAGGGGAGTTCGCAAAAATGGAAAGAAGCTCAAGGGACTTTAAAGACGCTCACGGATCTTCAAAAAAGTTCACGGTTCTTCAGAGACGTTAACAAAGATTCAGTTAAGTTGACGGAACTTCAGAGGTGCTCAGGTATTTTTAGATTAATTTACATAATTTCATAGAAGTTCATGGAACTTTCGAGCAGCTAACGAAACTTTCAAGAATCTGAACGATCTGTCGAGAAGTTCACGTACTTCCGGGTAGTGCATGGAACTTTCAAGGAATTTTATTCTAGAAAACCCAAGGGGTAGGTCACTCCGCACACCAATTTTGCGTCATCTTTTTTGTCAGTGTGACGCAAGTATGCCGATTGTGCCGGTCATAGAGCAAGCTGCGATTGTTTGTAAAATATCCATCCCGGCAACCCGGTATTTCTGACACCTTGAATGTTTGGTTTGAAATCGCAAGGATAAATCAGATTGAGGATGACGCGGGAAATGGTGAATGTGCGAAATTTCGGTGTTTTGTGATCCATAATAAAAGTCCTGTGTTTTAGTGTTTTATAATGCCCTCAAAGGCAGACCAGAAACCTAGCCTTTCGGCCGGAAAGAGTTGGAACCTGTGGGGAGCATTGTTGGAGACCGACTATAGAGGGTAATGAATAGACTTCTGTAGTTTGTTTTGTGTGAGTTGCAGTATTATATGAATTAAGGGTACTAATGAAGTCTGATTAACTGCCTCTTCCTCTTGAGTCCAATCTAGAACCTACATTTCGTATTTAGATCTATAAGTGTACTGCTGGTCTGAATTCCTCTGGTATATTCAATTAGAAGATGTTCCTGAACATGCAGTCAAACAGCACGTAATGTTCTGAACAACTTCAATGACAGTTGTCCAGCAGTGCTCCCATTTTATTTACAACAATCTAATGCCTACGAGATTGTGCCGAAGGTATGCCGAAAATGTGCCGATGGATGTGCCCAAGCTGTGTAGAATATAATTTCGGCACAATGTGCTGAGTGACTTACCCCTTCAGAAAACCCTAACATATTTTTTGGGAAGTTTCAAGTGAACTTGTGGGAAGTTGGAAAGGATCTTGTGGGCAGCTCCAAGTTATTTGAAGTTTCTCGTGGAATGCTGGGAAGTTTACAGCAGTTGTCTCACAAATTGTAGGAATTTCAGTAGTTCCCTCGAAGCTTCGCTGTACTTTCCTCGAAACACCTCTGAATACCTCTCGGGTTTCAGTGAAGTTCCCTTACAATTCTCCGAAAGATATCAGAGAAAGTGCTTCCAGTTTTCCTAAATTTTCCTGAAGTTCATCTAGAACTGCTAGGGAATTTTCCCAAAATTCCTGCTGAACTTCTCTCAAAATGTTATTTATGTTGAAGATATGCACACTAACCCCACATCACCTCCATTTGATTAACACACTAGATTGACTGATCCATAATTGTTTTAGCTTTAGCTTTACCACCCATAATTGTGGGGTCAATGTAGCTAAAGTTCCCTCTGAAGCTATCTTCGTGAAACACCACCCGTGAAACGAAACCTGCGCCACGTGTAGTTCCCCGGACGGATGCTCAATCAACTCACAAGGTTGATTCTGAGCCTAAGTTGGACTGTCTGACACTCCTCTTCCAGTCGCCGTGTACCGGTGCATCTCGTTCTGACAGTTATGGCTCTGCAGGTTGTGGCCATTGATGATCAAATCTGACTTTCCCAATTCGATGCATTGATCCGGTGGGCAAACTTGATCAACTTCTCTGACGAAACCAGCCGCTTGACGCTGGTCAGCTTCTGTCACACCTAGAAGATCGAATTTGCCTTTTGCAGCCAATTAGTTTTCTTGTCCCGCTCCTTGGCCTGTTTTTTGACGTAGGATTACATCTTTCGGCAACATATTGGGGGTGCAATTTAAAAAAAAAAACTAAAATCGACCGCGTTACGAAAAGTGGTCAGGTTTTGACCACTTATAACTCTGTCAATTGCAGATGGATTTTAATTCTATACAAGCCAATCGATTGGTAATTTTTCTACGAAGCTGCTAAAATTAATACAATTCAATTTTTAATAGGTCACTTATGCTTATTATGCTTATGGATTTTAACATAGGATTAAAGAGCTACAGAGTCGCCGTCAACCCCAACTGCTTGAAAGCTGCGCTACCGAATGGTAAACAATATTTTAAAAATGACATTTGTTGCTTATGCAACTGTATGTGTGAGAGCAGTTTTTTTTGGCTCCGTGCTTTTCGAAAATCTCGGATTTCCTCTAATAAAGTGATCCAAGATACGTTTCTCAGTGGAACTTCAGCCAGAAATCTAGAGTATGTGAGTGATCTGGTGTTAATGGTGCTGATTGTAAACGTAAACAAAGCAGAAATTCATATGAGAATAAACTGCCAGTTCTACCAACCAGTAGAAACTAACGATTTTATATTGGCTCTCTACTTGACTAGCCTATTAGTCCCAAGTAAATCGATTAACGTACCGCATTCTAGTCGAAATTCTAGTACTACACTATGTTTGTTTTGATTTGCTATAAAAATTTGACAGATAAAATGAGGGGTACGTGGATTTTCCTATGTTTCGAGGGGTGCACAGCTGAGCCAAAAAGTTGAGCACGTTTCTTCGGAACCTTCTAGTCTTAGAGTTACCTATATGGTTTAACACCCTTTCGATGAGTCAAGGACGCTGTTTATCAAGGTAGGAATTCGCATACACGAAACATGAATCTGACTTATATTTGAATACCGTTCACTCAAATTCGCAAAAAAAAAAAGTAAAGTTTCCCCCCGCTCATCCGACAAAATCAGGGTCGGACTATCAGGGTTTGACTCACTAACCCAACTGTCAAATCCATACTAAAAAATCAAAACAAACAGACAGCAAACTTACACATTTGAAAATTGACGCCATCATTTTCTGGGGTCCGGATTATCGAGTCGTCGGATTAACGAGTGCCGGATGAGCGGGAAGATACTGTAGATCATTAATAGAATGAGCAAATGTTTGCTCAATGTCACTCATACATGAGTAAATGTCACTCAAATATGAGTAAACATTTATTCATTTTATGGATGACCTACGTTTTTGCTAATTTGAGTGAACGGTACTCAAATATGAGTAAGATTAGTTTGCCGTGTAGTATCATAATAAATTATTGATGTATCCAGTTTTCCTATTGTTATTTTTATAATTTAGCTTTAATTACGAGACTTTCAGCCTTAGGCTGGTTCAACTCGATAGTGTTCCTAATCAAAGATAACATTTGCATATTACGGTGACTAGCAACATTTCTAATAAACCGCATTCTTCCTATTTTCCCGCAGAACTCCCAGGGCACTCCGCAGTACTACCAGGAGCTAACGGCCCAGCAGCACCCGCGCGAGTACGACGACCCGGAGGACGAGGAAGCCGAGATGGAAGCGGAACGCGAACTGGCCGAAGATGCCCAGTGGAAGCGGATACAGCAGAACACGTTCACCCGGTGGGCCAACGAGCACCTGAAGATCATCGACAAGAACATTGCCAGCCTGGAGTCGGACCTGTCCGACGGGCTGAAGCTGATCGCCCTGATTGAGGTGCTGTCGCAGAAGCGCATGAGCAAACACAACAAGCGGCCCACGTTCCGCAGCCAGAAGCTGGAAAATGTCTCGGTGGCGCTCAAATTCCTGGAAATCGAAGGCATCAAGATCGTCAATATCGGTAAGTGGCGTAGAAAGCGCGGGTGGAGGGGGATTGTTTTGCAAAATACACGACCACCTGTCAATCCGATCTGCGGCGGGTGGTTCGACTGCCAAGCCAAATATCACAAAAGCTTTCCGCGAAGTTGTAACCTCGCGCGTGCGTTCGTTCCCAAAAAGGAAGTCGCTGTTCGATTACCTTTCTTGTCCCAACGCAACACAGACGCGAAGCGAGCTTGTTTGACCAAATGCGATCAGAGACGACCTTCCTCCATTGATTAACTATCCCCGTCTCTGTAGATGGATTGTTGTTTTCCAGTGCTCAAGCGCGTCGCTCTTCGAAGATCAACAATTTTGATAGATACCTTACTCGGTGATCAATCTTCAACCGTCTGCAATTCCAAGAAGAGTTTCCTCGCTTGAAATGCATTCAAATCTGCAGCCCTGAACTTGCTGCGCGATGCTCGTTCCGATGTTTCGGCAATTTTCCCCTCAAATCGAAAAAAATAATATTAAAACCACCGAGCAACAAGATTTATGATACGGTTTTGGAACGTTTAAAAGCCAACCTTTCCATTTCGATGGGTCCGTTTTCCACTCGCCGCCGTCGGAGGTAGGCGATGGGAACCATCGCAATAGCAGTGAAGCGTCGCGTCGCGTAGGTTTATTACATAAACAACAATACGGCCATAAACGAATTTTTCGGTTGCTTTGCTGCCCAGAAAACTAAAAAGGCGAATAATTCACCTGCTGGGGCTACGGCGCCTTTCCGATGAACTTTTTCCACCAATATCTACGGAACCGACGACCATTCGGTATACACCCCTTTAAGACGTGCTGCTGCTGCGGGTTCACGCGCTCGTTCCTTAACATCTTATTACGTTTTGCCAGAGTCATAATCGCTGTTGTTATGTTCCCCTTCTCTCGTCTACACTACCACCCGCGAACTTCCTTCCTTTCTACTCTGATGTTACCAGGGTTGCCAAATTGATATCTGTGTTTTGGCTTAAAAATAATATTTTCAATTTCGATTTTACAGCAAATCTGTGATCAAATCTGTATTAATGATTTTTTAATTAAAGCAAAAAAAAATATTTTATTGGAAAAGTCATTGAGGGATTATTTACTGAAGCAAAATGAAAAGTTGGTTTAAATAACATAGGGGAAATGTATGTAATGTCGGCCTAAGTGTCCCTAATTTGGGCCCATACATAAATTCAGCAATCGACTAAATTTTCAATAACAAACAAAAAATATCCATTAGTACCGTCCCAATGACGCGTTCATCTAGATAAAATTGATCAATAACAGATTTTTAGCGATAGGCCCAATGTTAGATCCATAGGCCGACATTAGAGCCATTTCCCCTACTAAGCATAAATATTAAAAGCTTCAACTCATAATTTAAAAAATCTGCATTATTTGTGTCAAACCTAACAATCTGTGAATACAGATTCTTAGTTAAAAAAAACTCTGGAAAATCTGTAGAAATACAGATTAGTCCGTAGTTTTGGCAACCCTGGTTGCTACTGCTGCAGCAACCTTGAAGAAGTGTCGGCTCTTTTTTGATTGGGGCCCAAAGTTTTTTTTTTCTGTCGAAAAAGTGCAGAAGACGACCTGCTGCTACCCCCTTCTGCTATGGAATTTGGATTGGTCTGATGATGCAGTTCCGCTTCTCCATCAGACCAACCTCTACTACCAACTACTACTATTACTGCGAATAGCACTAGCACGCAAAAATTAACGCATTCCTAATGGGTGAGGTAATTATCATGTTCGGTTTTATCTGCCGGCAGGGGAAAATGCGAGACGTCAATGTCAGAACGGTGTTAGGATCGGTTCGCGTGACGGATGGATGGATTGGTGGCACCAACCATTGGCGTCTTTCCCAAAAAAGCAAGGGGGGGAGGTGGCTGTCAAATACGAACAATCGTCGCCTACCTCGCATAACTGGTTCCAAACGTAAACAAGCCATAAGAAACCTACAGCGTTTGTTTACGTTTGGAACCAGTTTCATACAAGATGATCAGTAGGCTGATTGGACAGCACATCCCCCCCCAGCAAAAAAGGGGTAGAGATTAATTAGTCGGTGGAAAAGGTTTATGTTTTTGCTTGGAGTGGTATTCGCTTTTGGGATGCGGACGGGTTGTCGTCCGTGAACTTTTCAACATGCGAATAATGTGCATTGATCATCATTCAAAACACCGTGCCATGATGCAAGTTGTTGTTTAACGTTTTCTGAGTAAAAAATTTAAACTTTCAATGTGAGTTGGTAGTCGGATTTGCCAGCATTTTTCGAGTTATATACTTTAACAAAGAATCCTTTGAAAAAATACACTCTAATTTTAATTTTTTTTTCCAAAATATTCCAATGTCGATTTTTTTGTTAAGGGGTTGTTCATAAACTACACACACGATTTTCGAGCGATTTCAAGTGATGCGCTTAGCCCCCTCTCCCTATGTTTCAGGTAATTCAATGTGAATGGAATTTGTACATTGTATTGACAAATGGTTGGTCTCAGATTTCAATGAAACTTTGTGGATGCATACTTATTGTATTGGGTTTTGCACCGTCGGGGTTAACCTCAATCTGTTGACAGTTCAGTGGTACTGTTTACGTGGACTTAGTCGATTTTTTCTTGGGTAGATTTTGTCGATAATTTTTCAGACTGCAGTGAGATGTAAACCGCACTTCTGCATTGTCCACGAGCAACATCCTTTCACCGCGCCGTTCCTCGACAATTTTCAAGTTAAAATTCGGAAATTTTAAAATATTTGTTCTTGTGCTTGTAAACAGTACCACTGAAATGTCAAAAAGGTTCAGCCCATTAACACTGAGTTCATTCGTGACGTCACGCTGCAGTACCTAATAAAAAAATCTTGACTACCATTTGAAAAGGGTCAAACTTTTTTTCGAATATTTTCGACAAAATATTAAGTCCTAATGTTGTCAAAAGATGCTTTGTAGGAAATTATATAGCTATAAGAAAATATTAACCCTCCGTTACTCGCGCTGTTGTACTTTGTACAACAAACATGAGTTTTCGATTGCCATTTTGCAGCCGAGCTACCAATCGTTCTCCAACGAGTATTCCTCAAAAAACTTGTTTTGATCTAAACAAGCTAAACTTTGATTACAGTAAACACATAAAAAATGCGGATAATAGGGAAAATGTAAATGGAAACCGTGTAAACTGTGACCATACTACGTGGGATTTGACTGAATTGATTACAACATAGAATGTATCGAGATCCAGACCAGATAGAAGGTTGCTGTCTCCAACACAGTTGTTCAGGAGTAAATAGCCTTGTCGCTGGTGGACAGTAGTTCAGAATTTTCTCACTACGTAGCGCTAGCATACATGTGAAATTCTTGCATGTAATATGTCTCGAGATCCTGACCAGATAGAAAGTTACTGGGGCTTATTGCGGATGTCACTTCACGGTGAAAACTTGTCACTTGTCGTCACGGTGAAGTGATTCCCATTTGATTTGTACGGCAATCACGGCTCTTATTATGAGTATCACTTCCTTATCACCGAGTAGTGACACCCGTAATAAGGCCCACTGTCTTTCACAAAGTTTTTCAGGAGGTCAAAGCCTATTGTTTGGTGCTCAATAGTTCAGAATTGGCTCACTACGCGACGCTAGTATACACGTGAAATTTTCATATATATATCCAGGGCTGGTAGCGAGTCACTTTTTAGTGACTTGGTCACTTTTTTCAAGTCAGTCACTTAAAAGTCTCTCTTTTTAAGGCCAAGTCACTAAAGTCACTTTTTCTTGGAATAAGTCACTATTTTCAACCTTTTTAGCGTGAATTTATTTCAAGATTGATTATTCTTTGCGTTGTGACGTTTAATCATCTTTCTCTCTATATAGGATGTCTATTCATTTTTCTGGATAAAATTATCTTAGTTTTCCAAGTAAATAAGTCCAAGATCTAAAAATATTCAATGTCTTGAAGTTTTGTATTCCATGTACAAGTTCAAGGTATTGCAAATATTCAAAGTGCCAGAATTAAGTTAAAAAATAAATGATTTATATCAAGTTAACTTTATGAAAGAATAGAAATCATCATTGCAGTCCCATTAACTTTACAGCAATTGTAGGAACTTTGGAAAAGTTCTGAGGAATGAAAGGAAATGCTGAGAATTTCAGTGAAGCTCTATAAACAAACTGCAGGAAGATAAGAGAAGTTAACACGCTGAAAATATGGGAAACTTACTGGAAGCTGTAAGAACCTCAAAGCGGTTCTTTTAGCATCCGAGACTTTTCAGGAACTTTAATGAAGTTCCTTGAATCTCAGAGAACCTCACAGGTGTCCAGCGAACTTGAGAAATTTAAGAAAACTTGAGGGGTGTTGTGGAAATTTTTAAGAAGTTCTAAGCACCTCAGAAAAGCTAGAAATCTTTGGGGAATTTCAGATCTTGAGAGCAATTTCCGTAACTATTGTCCAGAATTTTGGAGCAGTTTAAAATCTATAATCGTAAATTTAGATAAATTCAAGATAGTTCCATGATGTGCTGAAAAACAAATCGAGAGCTCTTAATATGTTCCGTGAATTTCAGGGAAACGAAGAGACCTTCAGAGAATTTATGAAAAGTTCAGAAAGATTTCAGAAACTTCACAGAAGTCCAGAGAATTTCAACGAACTTTAAATGTGGTTACGGGAATTCTATTTATTTCCGAGAAGAACAGAGATTTTTAATAGAACTAAGAGCTTTATGGAAGCTTCGAGAGACAGGTAAGAAAATCAAAGGGCAGTTCAAATAATTTCAAGGAATATTTTAAACCTTAAAGAAGTTTCAAGAAACTCAGTGAATTTCCGAAAACCTCAGCAAAGCTCCGAGAGAATTCCTGGAACGTGATACAAATTCTATAAACATCCGAAAAAAGTGAGAGTATTTTAAGGGTGTTATCATGTAGATTTTAAGAACTTAAAAAATGTAACTAAGTTGATTAGAGAACGTCAAGGAACTTCCATTAATAAAAAAGCGAGAACTTTTAGCAAGCAGAAAA